TAAAATTCTGAATGGTGTTTATGGTTCCGATACTGTAACAGCCAATTATGTGCAATTTTGGTCTCGTAGATTCCGTTCAGGAATTTTTGATGTTAAAGATGCACCTCGCACAGGTAGGCCGGTCGTCGAAAATGTCGATAAAATCGGAGAAATGATCGAAGTTGACCGGCATGTTAGCAGTCGTAACATCGCCCAGGAGCTAAAAATCGACCATAAAACAGTTTTAAACCATTTACACAAAGCTGGATTCAAAAAGAAGCTCGATGTTTGGGTGCCACACCAATTAACAGAAAAAAACATGATGGATCGAATTTCCATCTGCAAAGCCTTGGCCAAACGGAATGAGATAGACCCATATCTTAAACGGATGGTGACAGGAGATGAGAAATGGATCACATACGATAACCCTGTGCGAAAACGATCGTGGTCAAAGAGCGGTGAAGCACCTCAAACGGCCGTGTCGTTAGATACTGGCGGACCTTCTTCGTTTGTAACAGGTAAAAACTGCAGTCCCGTCACAAACATACAATGAGCATTGTCGACATGCAGTACGCGCTGATAAACAAGAAATGGAAGAGAATTATGTTGTGCTTTTAGTTCGAATATTTTAAAAAGCAATCTGCGGCAGCTTTTTTAAAAAGTTGACGTAGGAGAAGCACATCTCAGCATTTCCGGCACTGCTCACAAGACTTTTGTCTTACCCGAGATGTAAGTCTACGAATTTTGACTGTAAATAATTCTATCCTCAACAGCTTACCTGTAAACTAAAAGCGACCACCATCACGAAGGCTTCTTCCATACAACCGCAAAGTTCAAGAATGTGCAGAGCCTGATTTTTACGGTTTTCCGCATCACCCTTGGGGTACCGTGATAGACGCAATTGTTTGAAATGGCTGGCTCCCCCGTAGACCTACACCATTATATACATAATTAGAAATTACAATAGTATTTACAATAATAATAATAATAATACATAGTAATACAAAATAATATGTGGTAATACGTAACAAATAAAAAGCCCCGCTAATACATACATACATATAAATAAATAAAAATTTGTGCTATGCCGGTGTGCTGACATCTGCAAAAGAAAAATATTGTGATTAATAAATTTTATATACAAAGATGATCACAAACTTACCACTGGCCTACGGAAGTATCCCATTCTGCTGAAACGATGAGTGGAGGTGCAAAAGGAAGCATGCTCTTTAACCTAAAATAAAATAAAAAGAGATGAATAAACTATACATAATAATAAGTAACGATAAATGCAAACTTACCTTTAGCATGCAGCGAATTTTCATCGATATGAGGCGGTGAACGGAGCGAGTGGAACTTGATTGGGGCAGGAGCCTCTTTTCTTGAAGAAGGCAAGCTGCTTCACTATTGTCGCTTGGGTGCGCTTGCCGATGTTGGGGTCGACCATATGAAACTTCATTATTGCCAAGTAGATGCTCATGGCTTCCAAAAGAACACTAAGCACATTACGCCTCGGAAATTCGGGTTCCAGATCCTTATTAGCCAGGATTTCTTTCTGTTCCGGTTCATTGGCGACTAGTTTGCCATCAATTTCGGAGCATACTTCTTCCTTCCTCAGTGTTAGGTCGCTTAGGCATGCTTGGCATCTTAGCTGCTCACGAGTATATTGCGCCATTCCATAGCTTGTGAGCAGCCTGAAGTATTCCGCCTCGTCGTATAGCAGAAATTCATTTTCGGCCTTGGCTGTTGTCTTGTAATCCAGCTTTTCAGTGAGCTCATAATCGCCAACAGTTCTGGATCCGCCTCTCCAAAATTCTACTCGTCGTTTGGTTAAGCGTGTGCCCAGCATCATTATATCTTCCACCGGTCTTGTTCTCGTTCTCTTGCTTGGCGCCATCTTGCAGAAAAATCTGTCCAAGAGGTCTTGGCTTACCCTGTAGGCGTGTATATTTATGCCTGGGTAAGCCTCCAGCAGCCATCCATTATCTCTACGAAGTTGTTGATGGTGTCCAAGATGGGCTTAGTCTCCTTAACCGTCTGGAAGTACGAAACAATTAAAAGCTATCCCCAACAGAAAAATACAGACGAAGTAAGAAGGTTTGTAGCATTTTGCAACTATTACAGGAAATTTATAAAAGATTTTGCTAACATAGCACAACCACTAAACGATCTCCTCAAAAAAGGTAAAGACTTCGAATGGATAAACCAATGTAATCAGGCATTCCTAGAACTCAAAAGCAAACTGATGTCCCCACCTACATTACAATATCCAAATTTCGATAAACCCTTCATTTTAACAACTGATGCATCAAATTACGCCTTAGGAGCAGTACTATCACAAGGAGAAATAGGTCAAGACTTACCCATCGCCTACGCAAGCAAATCCCCAAGTAAACACGAAAACGACAAACCAATTATATACGAACAGAGTTCGACAATGAATTAATAAAAGAAATTTGTCTGTTACCAAATATCGAACAAAAGTTCTCAACACCCTACCACCATGAAACTTTAGGCACAATCGAAAGAAATCACAGAGTTCTTAACGAATACCTTTTAGCCTTTGCAACAAGCAATGATTGGGATAAATGTATATCATACTACACTACCCCTCACGTAGAAACACAATATACACCTTTTGAACAGATATATGGAAAATCGCCATACATGCCCAACGAAAAAATATTAAATTCAAATCCTACATACAACCCAGAAAACTACATAAATGAAATCAAAAAATGTTCGCGAAGATGCTATGCAGAGCGAATTATTTCGTGAAACTTATGTTGAAGTATTTTTTTGGCTTTTCAAAAGAAATCTCAGGCAGTGTTCTTAACATAGGCATTACTCCACATATCGATGTAAAATTTTACACCAAGCGGTAAATGGCATACCCACAATTAATAATTTTTAAAAGGTGGAAGTTACAACTATTGCAACTACGACGAGTATTCAAGATTCGTCTCAAGTCGCATATAAAATTTTTGCTTAGTTTTTACATGCATTCATTATTTAAGCTGTCAACTTGTCTTTGTGCGTTAGTGCGTTCTGTCATTTTGTGTAGTGCTAATGGGCGTTTAAAAAAAGTTCCCATCACCTTTACTTTGTATTTTACTTTTTTTATGAGAACATAAAACCTATACCATATCGAAACTTTGTGAAAATTTCAAATAATTGCAAAAGATATTAAATGATTTTTGTAATTTTGTATGATAATTAATATTTTTGCTTAATAGAAGTAAGTTAATAATTGAATATCTAACAACATATATATATATATATATATATACATATATATATATATGTATATATATGTTTGTAGAATATAAATGAATGAACTTAGTCATACATCGATTTATTTGAGGTATTCATAAATAAATTTTAGTTAATTCTCCATTTCCAATTTATTCGAGGAGGTGATTAGATAGGTTTGGTTTGTTCCAATCAAATAAAACCATCCAAACATTAACTGACGCAATTTTCAAAGATGCAATACGCACAGATTCGCCCCGTGCAGAAAAACTTGCTCAGGAGATGTTTGCTGTTCTAACTTAAAATTCCTTCTATCTAACTGACAAGCGTTTCAATAGATGACTTATTCTTTATTCAAACAGCCCCGCTATTCTTAGGACGGGTTATTAAATGCGGGTTATTTTGTTGATGAGAGCCTTAGAAGATCGATTACACTTCGCGCATGAAGTTCGTGATAGACGTTTGCACATACGTACGATTAGATGAAACCCATAAAAGGCCACACTAATCCAAACATATCCACAAGGGCGGTAAATAACTTTTAAGATTGCTATCCATTAACTGGATACCTATACATATACGTTTGGTTTTTTCAATTTTTTTTTTTAAGATTGATTTCACACGTTCTTCGTTGGATTTCAGCTTCGGCTGAGGGCAACACTTCGTCACAACCATTAAGTTTCTATTACGGTTTTATTTTACGCAGGCTCGCCAATTTGCAGTAGTAGTAGGGCAAGTTAAAATTTAAAAACATTACATATTTTTGTTAATGTTTTATGATGAAAAATTTATTCATTATTATAATTAGATGGACCAAATTTCAACCATATGGGAATACTTTTTGGATCATACCCTATATACCCCATATAGGTAAGCCCTTCAGAAAAAGGTTGCGGCTTGAAACTTGAATCGGATGTAAATTGTTTGTGAACTTTCTCTCTACATGTATGAATAATTAGGAATGCAAGGGATTTTTATCAGTCCTTTTATTATTATCATAATTCTATTTATTACACATTCGAGTTTCTGTTATCTATCCCTTAATTCCTGTTTCATTAGAAAAGTTCAATTCTCTAGCAATACGAATACGAAGGCGATAAGTAACATTTAAATAAAACCACCTGGCCATAGAAATAAGGACAACCTCGTAGTTTTGACAAATTAAAATTAATATTTCTTTCTTTACTAGTGATCTTAATAACTTACTCGAAAATGCATTCAATATTATCCTTAAAATCTTTTGTGTTCTAATTAGCATAAGAATAAAATTCTTCTGAGACAGGAACGTGGCGCTAACGGAAAAATGTCTTAATAAAAAGAATCGTGAATTTGATACAAAAAGAAAATATTTTTGACAAGAAAGAGGGACTGAAGAGGCGAATATCGACAATATATCCATCATATTATCTTTACTTTAACAAGAAAGTATTCTTTAAATTTCAGTAAATTTTCTCATATAAATAAAATTTAAATAAAATAAACAAACATTGACTTCGCAATATTAATGAAAGTATTCCTCATGCTGAAAATGCTGAAATATGAAAAGTGTAGAAGAGCAATCCACAAAGATACTAACATTTCGATTTCATGAAGTTTGCGGTAATGTATACCCTTGCACCGCAAAATGTTCATCCTTCGATTCGTTCGTGTTCGTTTAACGTGCTCGATGCGATCAACAAAAACGAAACGAAATTGTGTTAACTGAGAATGAGACAAAAATTATGCAAGAAGAAATACAAGTTGATATTTCCATTGAAACGCGCGTGCGTATTACAGACGTGATATTACTTAATCTCATTATTGCTGCACGTAATTTGGCTATATATGAATCTTACGTCCTATAAAAGGAAACACCCTCAGGTACGGTTCCACTTTTATAAACACTCAGACATTTTACTGTACTCGTAGATGAAGAATCTTCAATACCATAATCCTGAAAACATCTGTTCGATGTATTTGAGCCTCGCCCGTTACCGGAATTGACCAAACAAATCACTCCAAGAACTAACAACGAATTTTAAAATCGAATCGATGAAAAATTGATATCAATAATGTTCCGGGCAGAAATCTTTAAATCATAAAAAATTCAATGAAAATATTAAATCATCTGAAAACATTAATCGTAATAAACTAATAATGAGATTTTAAATAATTTGTTATGAAAATGAAATTAAAGGCATGAAAATTTTGAAAAAAATACGTTACTGACTTATTTATTTAGACATAGCTAATATTCGAATAGTAACAGCAGATTATTGTCAATGGACTCTAAACCATAGGTTTAATTAAGCATTTTAAAAACTTTCCGCTGAACATTCCAATGCTATGAAGTTCACAGTATAATCCAACTAATTTTTTTTTAGTTGTTAGCATTAAATTTGGAGTCTTAGTTAATGTTAAATGTGATTTCGGAATCGTAATACATCTTGACATAGAAGCCCTTTTTAATTTTCATTTCTTTTATTGGTAGGAGTTCTATAGTGAAACTGGATTGCCGAGCGACAGTTAGATTTCATTATAAAAGACGTAATTTCCAAAAAAAATAAAAAATTTGCAACTATTGCATTTGCAACCACGAGCAGGAAAAACTTTCCGCATAATTTAAAAAAGAAATGGCTAATCCAACAACAAAAATGAACAAGTATGTACAAGTATGCTTGCATTCACTTGTACATACAATTGATATATATCGCCAATAACGATTGTGTGCAAAAGCAATCAAAAGCAATGGCTAATATAACAACAACAAGTACATACAACTACATGTATATGGCGGCGTAGGTATTTGTTGTTATATGCCGCTAATTTTTTGTGACTTATGTGACGGATCATCTAGAGATGTCTACAATCCATTGTTCTAGAATTGGCAACTAGCGTTCAAAATCGAAATAATATGAAATAAACCAATAATTAGATGAAATGATCACCAGCTATAAAGATTTTTCTTTTTTTTCTTTTGGTTTTACTGCAATCATGTTTGTCACATGATGATCTGGGAAATACCAAAGGAAATTGTGAAAAACGCACTCACCAGTCAATAGATCAAACTTTTAACTACTTTAACTTTTTCAATTAATAATATTTAAAACGCTTTAACACTTTTGGGTAAATTTTGTTGAGTTGAAATAACTGCTGTTTGCCGTTCTGTGATTACTTTTCGAATAATCTCTTGTTTGAAATGATTGCGAGGGCCATGCAAAATTTTCTTTGTTTCCCAAAAAGCCGTTATCAGGTATATAAGAAAAGGAGCATATATGAAGAGATCACAGAGTTGCTTTCCTATAAATAAATATGAATGGCGAAAATGAAATCTCACTACATTATGTATGAATTTCGTTTAATTTCTTGATTGAAACATCGTGAATAATGATGATCTTAATGGTCGTACTATATATAATATATAATCTCGCATAATAATTTCTATTTTTGATAAATTTACTTGGCAAAAACATATTTAAAATAAAAAATTTAATAAAATATGATATCATAATGAAGGTAAATAATTAACTTTTTTGCTTTTTTTACTACTGTCACTTACAACTCTTGCGATATGTGCGTAATATAAGCACAGGAACAAGTGTTGCTGTTGTTCTTGTTGTATATACTTATACATATGTACAATGCTGGAAACGAGCGTCATTTTAAATAAAAATAGCAATGGCTGAAGTCAACATGAATAACAGTAAGTTTTACAATGTTTTTATTAATTTTGATTTAATAATAAAATTTTTTTTTTTGTAGGCAAAAACGAAGCCATGGACGATTGGCGCAATGAGCGCCGCAATGTCGAGGGAATTCGGAATGTAATCTATCCATCCAAAGATGATTAGCTGCCGAAACGAGATGAGGGCGCCGAAAATCGGAAACAATCGTCGCCCACGCGGCCTAGGCCTAGGCGTAGGCGCCCACCTCTGAATGGAGCTGAGTTTGGTGACTTATGCCACCGTTTAAGTCGGCCAAGGGGGAACGGAACGCGCCGCACCAAACATATTATTGTAATTCATAAACATTTTTATTGATTAATATGTTTGTTTTATTATTAAAATGTTCAAGTAAAATTGTCAAAAGTTTATATTATTCTCTACAATACAACGCCTCAGGGAATTCTGAAGTTATTGATATAGTTTTCGAAGAAATGTCATACTTTCAAACTATCAAATAGTGAGCTATAAAATACAATTTTAATCCTCGGTTAAGCCATCCATTTTCAAATTAAGATTTTGAAAATAAATTGGTGCCTTTAGAGAATAAGCGTATGTAAAATGCCAACCATGTGAAAATAAGTGTCCACTTGAAATTACAAAATAGCTCCTGCTATCAGAAGAATCCCAAATACCTAATTGATAGGCTTGGTTAAATAAACTTGATTGGAATTGAACAATTGACTTATATATGTATTCCTTCAGAAGTTGCACTCATTGACCGGCGCTCTTGACTTGATATGGTAGGCTCTTCTTTTATTATGCTGATCAGTTCAGAAAATGATTTTAAGCTTGTCTGTCCGTCTGTCTGCCTTGTTTTCTTATGTTTAACCTCGAGGTTGTTATTTCTGAGATATTTTGATGAAATTAGTCCCATGGACGAACGCTACTGAAAATGCTTCGAATCGGACCTCTTTTTCGAACGCTTCCAATATGCGCCATTATTTTGAAAAGCTGTTATGTGAAGCGTTCTGGGATGATGTAGGGTATTTAATAATGACTTATCACCCACTAGGCTGTTTTTAGCTTGTAAATTGTTATTGTAACGATATATATTTCTTTTCTTTTCCCTTAAATAGCCCACAATGATAAACTCTTATCAATTTGTTAGTCACAGATACCAGTTGTGTTATCAGGTATGTTGAAATTTTTAATAGAAATCAATAATTAGTAGTGGAAAGTAGAGTAAAATTCAATTCACCCAGTAGAACATACAAATTTTTATAAACTGAATATTTTTTTTTTTTTAAATAAAGAAAAACCGAAAACGAAGTGAATATGTTACAAAACGATGCTATTCGAAATTTATATCAAGACACAGGTGCAGATACGTCTCAACAGACTCCCAAGGAATCAAATGGTGCATAAATTTAAAATTTGTTTTAAAGTATTTTTAAATTGCTTTTCTTCTTTTTAGTCCTTGACGTGCCCGTTAATGTAACTTTTCAACCCGGAGGTATAAACATTTATGTCTTTTCCGTTTTCAATGCTCGTTTAATCTTTTTTTACTTTGCCTTATAAGCTCAACGCTTACCTTTACCTGTTACTAGAGTGGAATCAAACATCGGAATAACCACTTATGTCCCAATGACGGGTTATGATTTCTTAAAGGATTTACCTTCAGTACATATCGAACAAACATTTGAATTCAATGATTGTAAGTATTTTTCTCTTGACAATATTTCAATTTCCGTTGCGTGTACACTTTTTGTTTGTTTTTTAAGCTCTCACCGCCATTTGCCCAGAAAACCGCTTTATTGTACGTTCACCTCTTGGTGAGGCCTTGTATGCCGTTACTGAAAGCTCTTCGCAAACAAACTTTTTAATGTGTGGTTGCTGGCGTCCTTTTCAGCTGCATGTAATCGATAAGACATATCAAGAAGCGTTACTCTTGCGTAAATCATTCGCTTTAAGTTCATTGTGCTGCCTATCTAAGCAATTTGAAGTTTGGGTACCGCCTGGTCATTTATTAGGACGTGTTGTACAATCGCCAATTAGTTTAAAGCCACGATACTTTATTGAAGACGGTAGCACCGGGGCGTTAATGTTTTATATAGAAGGTCCCCGTTTCATGGCTTGTCGAAGTGGTTGTTATTCCACGAAAGAGACTTATTTTAGGGTAAAATTTTTTTATTTGGAATTTTTATACCATTCACCACTTGTGGTACAGGGTATATTAACTTAGTGCGGTCGTATGTAACACGCAGAAGGGCTTAAGGTGGGCCCACCTTTTATTATATTAATCGATTCAGAATCATTATCTGAATTTATCTAAGCCTGTCCGTCCGTCTGTCCGTCTGATGTTTGTCAATATAAAGTTGTGTTCAAGCCACAGGTCACAATTTTTAAAATATTTCGATGAAATTTGGCACAGCGACGTTTTTTGGCCTTCGTTGTTGGTTCGGGTCAGTCCACTTTTCCGCCACTCCCCACATATATATATATATATATATATATATATATATAAGTCCAAAGTTATCGTATCAATGTACATTGCCGAAATACAACTATTTAGCCACTTTTCCCAAAAAGTTTTGAAAATCACTATTTTTTCCGTATAACGACTTTCCAGTATAAAAAAGTATATATAGATATATATTATATATAACGCCCTATTCTGAAAAGTCGTTATATGTACTACATTAGATTGCGTTTTGGGCTCGCTTCTCCAATAATACGTACATGAAAAATATGCCTTTATATAGAGACACGGTATAATTTTTGTGTTTTATAATCACAATAGGAATTGTGTTAGACAATGTGGTGTAGGGTATTTAATGGTCGGACTTGCCCGATTATAACGTTCTTCCTTGGTTTTTTTTTTTTATTTTCGGCTTTTTAATTTGAAAAGGTACATTCTGGAGATGTGCTGAGAGCTTCAATTGATCATAAATGGTCCACGCTTAAATCGCAGTATACCCTCAACATTTACTTTAGTGATTCAAAATTAACGGCTAAAGAAAAAGCTTTAATTTTAGGTTCAGCTTTCTTACTGGTAAGTTAAAATCCAAAAACAAAGCTAATGATACTCGGTCCGGATTGAATATTTTGAGGTATTGATAATTGCTACTACGACGCTTTTCTGAATCAATCTGAAGCGATCAGAATAATAAAAGTGCCCGTCTGTCTGTCCTCTTTATCTGTGTTTAACCTAAAGGCTACAATTTTTGAAATATTTTGATGACATGTGGTACACTGACGTATTTTGAGCCAAGAACGAAGACTATTAAAGATGGTTCAGATCGGGCATGCAGCCCGAAATGCATTCCGACAATTTCCCACGTAACGTCTTACTTATGATATAGTGTCTTTACTTGTTTTGTATTTTTTGCTTTTTTTCTGAAGTTTTTGATAGATTTTTTTTTAATCACCCCAAAAGCACAACTCATTGTCAATTCTCCGTCATGCATTCAAACCTTATCACTATTGTAGAAACTATCATTGATCTGAACATATAAGCAATATATCCCACTGATTTAGTCCATGCTTACTTTCCATATACAAAAAAAAAAAGAAAAAGATATGTTCAGGACATTAATTCATTTAGTTTCTATGTATAACAACTCCTGATAAAGGGAAAATAGATCTTTTTTCTATCGTATATGGGAATATAATTTGCTTTTGAATATAAGTATTTCCTCTATTGTAACAACCTCCAAGCTGCCGTTGCTGGATGTTAGTGTGTGGGCGAAATAGGACGGACAAGCATTGTGACGAAGGATCTTGTGTATGTACTTTATAAGAGCTATGACGTTTATATCGGTTTGTTCGAATCTCCATTTTTTTGGATATAAAAACAAATCCTTAAGTCGGCGACCGTATAATTCTAATCTAACCAACTTTTATTTATTCCAGGAATATCAATATTTTCATAATAGATTTTAACAGCAAACGTCAACATAATTTTAAGGGAAAAATGCCGTTTTACAAATTTATAGTGTTGATAGAAAACTCACCGAATCCGAGAGAAGGGATAAATTCCTACTTCCTAAATAAATAAAATCCTCGAACATAAATACGCAAGTGCACGCATTTTTTGTAGCCCTAATTATTTTATATTCCAGCATAAAGTTTTTGTGGGTGTACCTATACTTATATATATCCATTAAGTTATCAGAACAATGTGTAGCTTCTTGCTTTTAATTATTGCAAGAACACTTCTAGACAGATATATCAATTGTAATTCGATCTTTCTTTAGCATTTACTGTATTGACGCCAAACAAAAAAATCAAACCTAATCTTTTTCACTTAATTAGGCCCCTCCTTTATCTGTTTAGGAGATGGAGAAATAAGCTCAAGCTTTATAATATATTAGCGATATTCGTGGTCATGACTACCTCAGCATTAGAAGTATTTAGACCGTCCTCCTCTACCTACTTAGCACTTAACTCATAAGCCTAAAAGTATGCACTATATGAAACGTAATTAATCCTATTATCTGAGACAGCTAAGAGAAACGACGACGTCTTTTCTGTTACTTCATCCCATTTAACAGAAATGGCGACGCCTTTTCTGCTTTCAGGGTTGCATTTAAAAATGAGTATCTATCACATCTATATATATATAAGTAAATGACCGAACTTCGAATTTCACAACTTAAGAGAGTAAGTAAATGAGCGATCTTCGAATTTCACAACTTGAGAGAGTAAGTAAATGATCGACCATTTATTAGAATGTACATATTGGAAATATTTATTCTCCCTTCTCCGCACCACATAAAAATACATAAAAATAAGTAAAAATACATGTGCATAAAAATAAATACAATATTTTTAATGATGATGAAATGGAAAATTACACGCTATAACAGATTTTGTATGACGCAATATTAGAAAGCGAATAAATTAATTAATCATTAGTTTCAATTTAATACACACGTCTGTAATAAAGAAAATATTACTTTGTTTTGGAAAAAAGCGATTTGGCAATAAATCGCTTACAAGATAGAATTAACCTGGCATAGCTTAATTGAAATATTTGATTACAGGTTCACAATACAAAATTGAACCATGTATGTCTATTTTTAGGAACTCCACACCATATAAAGAGTAAATGTAAGTCTATTTTATAATATTTTTTTTTAAATAACGCGACGGTTCGGAGAGCAACTCAAATTATTACTTGCAATTTTTAAATTGGAAAATATAAGAACAGCAAGAGGAAGAGCAGCAAAATAACAAAAAAATAATGCTTTTACATACGATTGATATGAGTTCAAAATATATTGCTATGAAATTCTCTTTTACTAGATACAGTCCGTATCACTAGATCGTGGATATTTTGATCAAGAGAAATACACTTCAAAGTTCTTTGATTTGCAATTATATTCCTTAATAGTAGGATCATTTATTTACAATTTTTGGCCGTACTCCCAACTTCTACGTTCTTGCCAGACTGACTTTACTTTTCACAAATATTCTATTTATATACAATTTTACAAGCACCTTACTATACCTAAATTTATGGTTATGGTCTAACCCCAGCCTGGTTTTTCTTCTAATCGTTTTCATCGGCCTGCACCTGCATGACGAGCCTGCGAATATGCACTTAGCTTTTACCTGTTTGCCTTTCCGATAATCGTTTTCATCGGCCTGCACCTTCATGAGGCGCCTGCGAATGCTCATTTGGTTTTTCCTTTTTTAGGGAATAATTATTACGAAAATTACTTAGCTGATGTTAACTGAATTTGGGATTTTCGAAACAATATTATAAAACGATGGCAGTAAGCTTTCAATACTTCGCGTTGAAAAACCAAGCACAATATGTGAAAGGTGATATTTTAGCATTGACACATTGATTTTATGGAAATCATAAAATTTATTTGAAAAAGTTGAATTTGGAACGTTACAGAAGTTCAACGAACCATCACGCTTGTAATGAAAGAAAACACCCAATGCTTGATGAGAAGGATCCTCAGATAAATTAAAAGGAAGACAACGATTAACACAAATCTCAGGGAAATTGGCAAAGCAGACATCAAGCAACCTACTATAATCGAATAATTCGTTAAAGAATACAACAGATCAGATGTTGAAGTAGGACTCAGACAGCCAGAAGTATCACCGTAACACAAAGTGACTTGAGGCAAATTGAAGTCACCCAACGCAATGACTAAATCGGTGGATTTAGAATGCTTGGCCGCTTCACAAATGAGGGCCGCTTGTTTCTTATATATGGAGATATCCAAATTTGGGGGAATATAAGCGCAGGTCATATATAAGTGTTTGTTAGGAAACTTCGCTCGAATGGCGACAAATTCAACGTCAAAAGTAGCAGGAAACTCAATTGAATAGGGCGGAACTAACGCATATGCGGCAATTAATACACCACTACCATTGTGATTCAATCGATCATTTCTGAAAACTTGGAAAGAATTTTACCAAAGTTCCGGCGAATGTAGGTCAGGCTTTAACCAAGTTTCAGTGAAGGCCAAACAGGAAACCTACGCGTCCACTGAATTTAGGAAAGTAGGGGAAGGCGACAGGACTACTGCATTAGTATTACGGGGTCGATCACGAGGGATAAATTCCTTAATTAAGGATCCAACTGGTTACAATGGTATGTTTAACCATATATCCATGTCGTCAGTCGGAACTAGAATTTTAAAAGATGAAATTGCTCTAGGTTGAGAAGGAGCCAATTTCAAAATGCTTTAAATTGACAGATGGCACTTTCGCCGCCAGATAACTCTCATATTATCCAGACATGTATCAAGTGGTAGTCTTGACACAAATATTGCCTTTCTGGGAGGAACTGCCTTCAAGCAAATGTCGTCTCTACTAGGAGCAGTAGGGTTCACGGTTGGGGAGTTTTGATTTGGGGAGAATATAGATGGCGCTATCGCCCTTGCACCAGCAGCTTGTGCCATTTGCCCAGTCATGCCACCAGCGTTCACATTCGAACAGCCAGTAGGGAGAGGATGATTTATTTTTCTCTTTATTATTTTTAGGCGATGACGTCTGAATAGATTGAGTGATGCCAATGGGAGGAGATACCCTTGCCACTTCAGCATAGCTCAAACCACAGGAATTTCCCGGCGTATTTGTAACTTTGACCGACTCAACAGTAGCAGAAACGCTAACGTTCTTTGCAGACTTTGTATCAACGAATCAGACTTACGAGAAAGCCATCATGCAATATAAATAATAAACTATAACGTGCAAGCGAGAGCGAGATCAGCAAATTCTTAGCCAAAGCTCTAACGAGCACACTAGAGAAGTGTGTAGTAGATATACGAAAACATGACTTAAAATTTTATTATGCTCACGATCGTCTTTCTACACTATTTGCGACAATTTAAGGGCAGATCTGCATAAAAAGAAATTCGTTTTCAAAAGCTTTCCCCTTACATTATTAAAAGAATGCAATGGTGGAAGAAAAGGATTCCATAAAAATGTAGTAGACATTATTGTATTATCTATTAGACAATATGTGTTGTAAATCCAATGCATCCTTTTTGTCGCATTCATAAATTTAAAAAAAAAACAGGATCGGAAGAGTCCTTAAGTGGGTGTCGACATACGTAAGCGAACACCATCGTCGTAGTGTGATCGTTAAACGTGGCGAGTTTCAAGCAGTTTATCCCCTCGAAGCCCACATAATATGACCACAAAATTTCTGTTGCCATAACTGTGCACTTTCCTTATTATGTAACCAATGCAATTTCTTTGAAACCATACGATTTTCATACATTTTAGGTTATAAAAAGTTCACAATCGTTTTTCAATATCGAAAGTAAATTTAAAACATCATTTCGCATTAAGAGATTCTGTATTCAGTTGTAAAATGATCAAAAAGAAGGAGGCATGTGTTAGCAGTTATTTGAGCAGCAAAAAAGAGAACATAACCGAATTGGAGCGAATCAAATGTATGAAGTCATGATAACAACTTGAAAGAAGTGAGTGAACTCTTGTTAATTTTTATTAAAATTTCTAATAATCGTGATGGCACAAAGTTTGATTCATCTCGAGATCGTAACAAATCATTCTGTTTTACTATTGTAGAAGGAGAATTAATACGCGGTTGAGATGTAGGCGTAAGTCATTTTTGGGTGGGTCAACGTGCTAAATTAATTATAAAAATTACGTCCATATGAGAGTAAGCGTATATTTTTGATTACACTTCTCAATAATTGAAAATGTGTTTGTTTATTAACAGCTGTCGCATGTATAAAAATTGCGTCCATTAGAGAGTAAGCGTATATGTTTGATTGCACTTCTTAATAATTGAAAATTCCTGTACGTATACTTGTTGTTGTTTGTAAAATAGAGTATAGTTTAAGTGCTCTCGATGAACAAGTTGCAATCCACTTAGCAACATGCCTATAGACCTAAATGAGCGAACTTTGAATTTTGTCAATTTAAAGGAGAAGTAAATGAGCGAACTTTAAATTTTGTCAATTTAGAGGAGAAGTAAAGCACATACCTAACGGTAACGTCTTTCACGTGTCTGTCTGTAGATAGGTAACAATTTTTGCTGTTGCAATGCCGAACTGTTCAAATATTGTTGCTTTAAAGCACTAATAGTAGCGATTTTACGATGTTTTATAGTGCCGGTATGACTGCAATTAGGAGTAGAATAGAGGATGAGAAAGTCGAAGTGGAAGCAGCGGCGGATAAAGGTGAAGATGAATTTAAGATTTCCAAATCAATTTTTATTTTATCAATTTTCCATTTTTTTCATTCAAAGTAGACTGAAGCTCTATTCATTTGATATATTATACAAATTTTTCATTGATTTTTTATCAATTTTTCGTGCCCTTCATTGATTTTTTATCAATCATCAAATGCATTAGCGCTTATCTCTGCCTTTTCCCGCAAGTCTCCTGTTCAACCAAATTTTTCACTTACACACATACAGTCTTAGTGAAGCCTTCATTAACTTTAATTGCAGTATCGTTTTCAATCTACAAATCTCCCTCCCCGACATCACTTATTATTATATCTTATATTATTATAATTTGAGTATGTTTCAAACGTTTTGCTCATATTCGTCCTAATTCAAATTCCGAGCTTGATCCACTATCAGACTGATCCTTTTCAATGATTACTGGTTTTAAAAAAATCTTTTATTGAAGTCTGTTTTCCCTTATTTCGTTTCAAGTTATTACGGCTTTTCACTTATTGACAATTTTTCGGAAATTGTAAATATTGAAATTCAATTGTCAATTACAAATCAATCAGTTGTTCAACTGTCAAGTAAGAAAACAATTTTTTTTTAAATCTTTT